CGCCAATTGATGAACTCGTCCGTCAGGATCCTGCCGTGGCCCGCCTCTTCGATCCTGAAGACCTCGATCTGGCTCGACTTGGGCTGCCGCCGTATCCTCCAGACACCCTCGTCGTTTATGGTCCTTTTCAGCCCTGATATCATTCTGTCAGCCACACCCACGAAATACACAAGAGATGACATTTTTCAAAGAAAGACTTACACTCCAAAAACCCAGCACCAAAGTTAATACACATGTTGGCGTTCCACGTCTTGACGCCCCGCTGCGCGGCGGTGACGGGGATGCCCTCGGTCTTGATCTCCTCGAGCTTTTCCAGGACGCCGTCCTGGGAGCGGAAGCCGACGATGATCTTGGGCACGCCGAGCAGGAAGGACTGGATCCAGAACTTCATGAGCTTGCGCTCAAAGTTGGCCATGTCGCGGTCGTCGCGGATCGACGCGCTCGTCTTGAGCTCGACCCAGTTGGTCGGGGCGCCGGGGACCATGGGCTTGGCGTCCCAGACTGCGTTCAATGTCAGTTAATTGTTTCATTATGTATTTTTGACAGATTCGGCAGGTGGAGATATGTTGAATGTGAGGAAATCATACCTGCGTCAACCTCACCACCAATACAGAGTATCGTCTTGCCGAGTCCGGTGCGGACCACGGAGCAGTACTGAGCCTTGTTGCTCACGACTTCGCTGTGGCGGTTCTCGATGAACTCTCTATCCGTCTCGCCCCAAGGCGCCGGCAGCGTGGACAGAGTCTCGAATTTGTAACCTAGCACCAGTCAGTCGAATGAGGACTCCCTATACGAACGACATCGTCTCCTACTCACCCCAGTACGTCATGACGTCGGGAGAGAACTGAGGAGGAGTAGGCCGATTATCCCAGCGCTTGGGTTTCCTGTTCTGTTGCTGCTGCTTCTGTTTTTCCTGTGAAGCCTTCTTGTAGGCGTGGTTCTCTTCGATGAAACTCCAGCTCATGTCAGCCGGATGGGAATAAGTCAAGGGGGAACAGGATAGCCTACATGCAGTCCTTTCGTCCAGTCAGCTCTTGATCGTCCTCACAAAGGGGTAACGGCGCAGCGTACTTGGTATAGAGTGGCATTCATCTCAAAGCTGGTGACATAAAAGTCAGCACATTAGATCGATATCTGATAGGTGGTGTGTCGTACCCGTCTCTATCGTCAAACAGAGCAGACATGATCTATAAAAGTCATCAGCACAATCCAAATATAATCAGTCCGTTCGATGTCACCAACCTTGGTCATCATGCCTCTCCACGTCACGATCTGGGCGTCGATCTTCTTGCCCTCCTGCTGCTCGTGCGCAGCAATGGTCCTGAGCAGGCTGTCCAGGTGCTCGTCGCCCGAGTCGTCGTGCTTGTCAAACGTCTCAAAGCCCGCCGACAGGTCCGCGCCCACCTCGGCCGGGTAGTAGTACTTGAGCGACGAGTCGCCGAGGTGGAACTCGTGCTTTTCGTCATATGAGAAACAGGCGATTTCCTTGGGTCTTCTTGTCAGCTTCGGCTATGCCATGAGAGGTATGTAATCTTTCATAGACGGGGATTTTGGAATTAGGGCGTTGTAATGCTGAATAAAGCATATATCCGTGAAATAAAAACACCATCGTGAGTAAAACATAAGGCATAAAACATACCTTGGGTCTCTTGACAGCTTGGCTGTCGCCGCTGAAGCGACCAATTGGCTGGATATTGAAAGCTCCCGACATGGTCACCAGGCACGTCTTGTGGAAAGTCTTTCCAAAAATTCAATGACAAGATTTGAGAGCTATAACCATGTGTTTTAGTGGCCTTGAGAGAAAAGGAACGGCTGTAATTGTACACTCACAGGCCAACTGAGGTTGAGAAACACGGCGAAAAAGGTCAAGCCGCTAACAAATGGCCGCAGGGGGCCTTCTGTACACTAACAATGCATTTTTAGGTCACCCTTGGCCCGCTGTGAGGATCCCTGTCAGCTCAAGATCTGCACCCCGCGGTTAGTGGGATGAGAAGCGCTCCGGCTTGTTTTGTTCCACCTGAACGCTGCTGAAAGTAAACAATTTGGGCATTCTGGAATAGAAGCATTCATTACGCCTCTTCGCAATCTTCTCGAGACCGGCAAACCACCCAACCGCTTACCCTCTTTTCAACAAGTGCACTGTTTGTTGGATTATGCAAACTTGCTAGATTGTATTGCTTTCCATCTATCTGCCTTTTCGTCTACACAAATGCGCCCATAATGTCCAGCAACAACCCGCCACCGCTGCAGCGGCCAGCAGCAGCGCGCCCCGTCCGGACCATGATGCCCTCGGCCAGCAACCACCCCCCGACCTCGATGGCGACCACCGCTGCTAACGGCGGCAACGTCCGCCGCAACCTGTTCCAGTCCCAGCTCACGCGTCGCCCGACGCCCGTGTCCTCCTCCAACTCGGCCGAGACCCTCAGGCTGGACGTCGACGTGCTGTCGGACACGTCCGAGATCGTGATGCGTGATAAGAACGGCGACTTCAAGCTCGACGACCCGCCCACGCCGCCCATGGACGATGCTTCGGACGAGGGAGCCGTCGACGAGGAGAGGGAGAACGAACGTATGCCACCTCCAAACAAAAGCTGAACAAGAGCATCCAAGCTGGCAAATGCTAATAGGCAATATAGGTGAGAGAAGGAAGCTCGCCGAGATTGTCAGGCATCACCAAAAGGCGCCCGCGCAACCAGAAGGTGAGAAGGCATCCGCAGTAGGACTTCGCTTTGTTATATGCTGACCTGTAGTCGAAAATAGAAGTACTCGAGGCACTTCGAGCCAGCATGCGAGCACAGGTGGCAGCCCTGGCCGAAGACAACTGGATGTACGAAGCAGAAGAACCACCACGCCCGCAATGAGTAGAGGCCATGTAAACCCGTTGCTCCTTTTGTTTCGTCTATGGCTCATATCTACGTCAACGCCTTGAGGATATCATGCTTGGTTTAAGGGAACTGCCAGAGACAACATCTAGTCCAGGCCCTCTGCGGTCGGTAGCGGTGCAGGAGACTTGATACCGGGTCTCCTGGCACCTCCAGCGGGGGCACCACCACCACCTCCGCCGAACAAGCCGCTCATCATATCCATGAGAGGGTTGCTCTGTCTTGGCCTCGAGATACCAAAGTACATCTCGGCAATCATCTCAAGCGGCTCGTGCCATGCCTCCACCTCTTTGATGTTCGACGCATACTTGGCGCTCAGCTGTCGGTAGAGATCGGGGCTGCCCCGCGTCACGGCCAGGAGAAGGAGGCCCAGAAAGTTGAGGAGGGGAATGCTAGGGAATATTCTGATGTCGGCCGAGTTGCCGCTGACATCCTGCACACCGATTGCGCTTCCCTTGTCCTGGTTCAGGGAGCTTGCGAAGTACCGGTACGCCGTGTTGGCCGCTCGCAAGTTGGCGGTAAGGAGGTAGGGTAGAATAGCTCGGCCGGCATACAAGGCTGCCGTGTGCGAATCGTCCTCCTTGAACCACTCGTACTCCATCTTGGCCAGGATCTCGGCCGAATCTTTTGTACCCAACACCAAGTGGCGCTCGGCGTCGTATGTCTCGTGCTCTTCAGCGTAGATGCTGCCGGCGACGTGGTGCAGCTCTGGGTCGCCGGCGGGGAACTCGCCATACTTGGAGGACCAGCTTGATATCGAATATTAACACCATTTCGTGAATCCTCGCAACTTGCACCAGCTTTAAGACGACTACTCACCCGATGATCTCGCCGATGAACTTCTTCCTCGTGGGCTCGCCGGGGCCGAACAGGCGCAGGCAGGTCAGCAGCTTGCCCTTGTTGCTGGCGTCGGGCCTGAGCTCGGCCGACTTGTACGTGTCGACGAGCAGGACGCACAGGTCGCCGCCGCTGCCGCCCTGACCGGCCTTGAGCAGGGACTGGGCAACGTTGTACAAGATGTCGATGGCGGCGTCCCAGTTGGCCGCCTTGGTGTACCGCGCGGCGACGACCCGCGTCTGCTGCTGCGCCTCGTAGAACTGGCCCTCGCCGATGCGCGCCTGCGCCCGGGCGATGATCTTTTCGATCTTGTCGTTTTTCGCGGCTGCCATGGTGGGAGGGATTTGTGAGGGTGTCGAGGGTCGTGGGGTGTGTCGGGTTGTGTGAGGTCTGGCGGCGAGGGGGGCGGCAGTGGTGGTGATGATGTAGTTTGACTTGGAGCGTTGGGTAACTTGGCAGTCGGTCGATGGCGGGGAGCTTCTCGAGGTGTGGTCAGCTAAAGCGTGGGTTGTGGTTTTAGTGGGTTCTTGGTGTAGGCGGGATGCGGGTACCGGAACAGAATAGAAACTTGGACGCTTTACTTTGGACGACTGTGATTTCAAGCACTGCACTCTGATCACTGTAGCACAGATTTTGATTAACATTTCTTTTTATCAACCTTCGTCTTGACGGCTAAGGCTTTCTCAAGACTAAAATTGCCTGGAAAACTTGTGATTTCATACGGCAACCTTCATAGATCAGCGCATTGTCTCGATCCATACAACTGAATCGACAGCCCAGTATCGAAATCAAAGATATCTAAACGTCAAGTGCCTACCAAACCTCGTAGATATTACTATCGACCTTCCCATACTTAACTTCAATGTTGATCGTTCTATGACATACTGAACAGAAGCAAGCGTTTTGTCCGAGTCAAGAAGCTGCAGGGGTCCTCGGGTTCTTAGTGCCCAAACCACACAAAATTTTATAGACCTTGAATCGACTTTTTCCATTTCGCTGAAACCCTTTTCTTTCTTTGAACCTTACTTGAGCTATTTCTTGTGTCCTTAGTGGTTGGCCCACCATTTCGCGACTCCATTCGAGCATACACAGAGTCCTCATTGCCCATTATTTTTCATCTTCTCTACGTACATGTATCCCCTCCACCACCAGCCTCCCTCGGAGCCACAGAGGCACAGCAAGGGAAGGAACGCATGTCACACTACTGCAAACCCCGCAGCATGCCAATGATGACATATATCAGCTCATAAGCAGCCTTTGATCAATCGCCGTGAATCATCAGCGTTGATGGTGTAATGGTAACATCGAAGCTTCCCATTGTCACAAAGACAACTGCTTTGGCCCCGGGTTCGATTCCCGGTCAGCGCATGCAATGGTCCTGATTTAATCAGGAATTCTCCTTTTTTTTTTTTGTCTTGAGGGACAATTGTTGAAGTGTATACTTCGTATCTAATCACCAATAGGGATTGTTTTGCTTTACTGTCATCTCCATTGCTTCTGTCACCCAGCTACTGGCATCTCCTCTGTTTGCCAGTCTGATGATGTATGGACATGGCTGGTCAGATTCACAAGATATTTACAAAGTCGGCATCGCAGTACAACTCCCGGCTACAACACGTTGCTCAGCTTGTCCTGCCTGTATTCTGGTTCCTATGGCCCAGCCGCAGGTACAGAACGTACCCCATCCCACATATCACCACCCAAATGCCTGGTCATAGCCCATTGCGTCTGCAGCCATAAATAGACGGTTGGTCTTTTCTGGCTCCAAATGATTCTCCCTATTCTGCTTAGGCGTCGGGATCCCGATGCTGATACGGCTGATCCGGAAGGCATCCGTGCGATCGCCCGTTGTAATTTATGATATTTATCTTGACATTGAAATATTCACCTGGTCTGGTGAAGTACTTATAATCGTACTTATCGCGTATGGTGATTTCGTGCAAGTTCTCGCCACGCTTGTGGTGGCGGACAAGCTCGACTTCGAGTAGGTCTCGTGGAAACCACGGAATATCTTTCGGTGGTTTGTCAAGTACACCATCTGTGATCATTTCGACACGGGCGCTCATCTGGGGCATTGTTAGTTGGTTTGTCAGCAGAAATGATCCGATTGAGACCAACCTCCATGAATTCTTGCCACTGGCCGTGCTCGGGGGAGATCAAGAGCAGCTGCTCCAAGAGAGTCGAGTTGTGACCGCCTTTCGCAATGTCGAGCCCAAACTCCAACATGGTGATCTGAGCGGCGGCAGCCTTCACGGATCCCAGTAAAAGGCCGTGTTTGTGACGCACACCAGCTAGTCCAAGCTTCTGTGCTCTCCAGAGTGCCATTTTTCTCCAGGACATGATCTTGCTGTGGTCTGTTGGTGGCGGAAGAGCCCTGCGTGTTGTCGGTCGCTGCTGGTTCCTCAGCTTGGTACGATTCTTTTGCCATTCGTCGTGATCATCCTTCTCGCTGCCGATTTTGAGATCCAGCATTTCACGGTATCCGAGGTCTGTTGGATCGAAAGGAAAGGCGACCTAGTGAAAGAATTAGTTCAGTCGTATCAGGACCCAGAAGGTGTGGCAAGTACAACTTACCGTCAGTAGCCAAGTACAGGCTCGTGCACAGAGTGTTTCTGCCCTCCCACGGGTGGTGAGGCACCCATCAGCCTCCCATGGCTCACACCCCCAAGCGACCATGAGGTACTGAAAGTCCCACCAAGACAGGTTACTGCAGCTCATGGCAATCATCAGATACTCCTCCACCTCTTCGAAAAGCTCCGGATTGCGTGTTATATTGACTCTGAAGCAGGTGAAAGCGTCTGCTACTGCTTTTCTGGCGAGTGCTTCATCGATGGCTCCGTGTGTGGGTGTCGGCGTATACATCACCACTCTCGGACCAAACCAAAAGGCAAGCACATCATTCCATTCTTTATCCTTCGGCATTTCAGGAAAGAGTCTGATGTGGCGATCTCAAGTAGATGAGTATTGGCTTGGAGGTATTCCGAGAGGTAGTTGACGTAAGATGGTTGAGACGTGAAGGACCGGAATCACAGAAGCTCTTTGGTAGAAGGGCAAGACCGCGGGAATCTGTCGAGGGTGCAAACGTGAACGGTCTTGCGCATGGCGTGAGTTTCCAGGAAGTCTCCCAGAATTAACGAGTTTTCAAGGTCTGGAAGCCGGAAAACCATAATTTTAGGCAGAGAGAAACGAGGGTTGTGGGCTGTGATGGAAACCGAGGATTGTGGGAAGGAGCGACATTGGGTCAGAAGACAATGCGATTGGACCAATAGTGATCCAGAAACTGCAGGAACGTTCGTTGATTCGTGCATGTTTCAAGATGCAAACGAGAATATTGTGGGCGGCAGGTGCGATCATGATCATTGCTCGTTTCCAATTACTCCCAGCTTTTCTTCAAGCGAGCAAGACCCGACATTTCTAACCATGTATTCCTTTTCTTCTATCTTGGGTGAGTACTTGGACAACATTGTTGAACACACTTCTGCTCAGGGTTTAGCCAGCAATAACAAATGTTTGGTAGTCATCTTTTGTGTGTGCAACTATAAAAGGAATGTTGTTCTTTTCTGGCGCCCAAGTGATCCTCCCTGGTTGGGTCAGTCGTCGTGATAGCGATGCTGCCGCCCATAATGCCGTGGACGTGAGGGGACTATCTGCTGGATTGACGACTGAGATGACTTTATCCTTACTGAATACGGTCAGTTCCCAGCAGTGCGGAACAGCAAACTCTTAGAACCGGCCACCCGTTCTGGCTTGGGGAGACGGCGGGTTCCATCTGGCCCTCGGCGCTGAAGTTGCCGGGCTCAGTGTTGAAGCGCAGGACGGCGAACGAACTCTTGACCTTGCCGGCGTGGGCGGGCGACGGCAAGGGCGGGGATGAGAGAGGGGGTATTGAGTCTCATGATGGGCATCTTGTCTGAACAGAAGGTATAGATGTTTCTGGTGTTGTGTGAGTCAAAGAGATTGAGTACCAAAGGGGGAACGTGAACGATGAGCTTGTCAAGCAGTCTGACTTGATTATGTTGAGCTACGAAAGGGGCGTGCGGGAGAAGAGCCTCTTGATCTAACCAGAGCAGTATTATAACCTGTGATGGGCACTATCTAGTATCCATTTCAGTCCGACTGATGCTCGTATTCTCCCTCGGTAGTGCATGACCGCAAAGCTGGGATCAAGTTCCCGGCGAGAGCCATGAACGTGGCATGCTCCAGTGCGCCCGGTCTGCTGAAAAGCATCGTCTCGTCTGAATCGGAAGACGGATTCCGGGCATGGAAAGACAAAATTTCAGTGGCTTGATTGAGGCTTATGCCTCGCCCCCTCCCCAACTTGGAGGCTACTTCTTCCGGTGTGAGCCATGCAATGTCTTTTGGTGCCTCTTTGAGTACACCAATCGAAACCATTTCGACACGAGCGCGCAACTGTGATGCCGTTAGTTGACTTGTGTCTGTCTGCAGGGAAATATCGTTACAGACTAACCTCCATGAAGTCGTTCCAGTCTTTAGTATCAATTGACTTCAATTGACGGAGCAGAGCGCCATTGAATTCGCCCTTATTAGGGTCTAGACCGAATTCCAAAAGGGTAATTCGAGCAGCAGCGTCCAGAAGCGGTCCCAGGAGTAAGCCGCGTTCGTGACGCACATCAGCCCAGCCGAGTTTCTGCGCTCTCCAAAGTGCCATCTTTCTCCAGGCAAGGGCGAGTCCCGGATCAACTGGCGGCAGAAGGGCTCTGCGCGTTGCGTGGCGCTGATCGACCGCGATCCGCGTGCGGTTCTTCTGCCAGTTTCTGTGTAGGCTTTTCTCTTTCTGGATGTCTCTCGATGAGGATTGATAGGAGAGAGCCTCTTCGGGGCCCAGGGGGTAGGCAGCCTTGAAGGAAAAGTCAGCGCGTGTGGTTCAGAATCGGATCGGTGCAGCAAGTTTTCGGCTTACCGTCAGTAGCCAAGTACAGGCCGATACACAGAAGTTCTCGCCCCTGTAATCTGCGTCGCGAAGCCATGTTCTCGCCAGCGCGGGGTCGCAGCCCCAGCTGATCATGAGGTACGTGAAGTCGTGGAGCGACAGATGACTGCAGCTCATGGCCAGGAGGAGGCGTTCCTCTATCTCCTTGAATAGCTCCGTGTCGCTCGTCTTGTCGACATTGAAGCAGCTCAGGGCCTTCTCGGCTGCAGCTCTTGCCGCCGGGGCAGGAATGTGTCCACGAACGGGTGTCGGCGCATACGTGACCTGTCGCGGACCGGCCAGATCGGAAGGTTCCACAGGCGGATCTCCTCGCACCATTTCGACAACAGCAAGGTATTCGAGTTTTGTCTCGAATAGAACGAGTGTTGACAAGCAGGTGCGGCGAGGGCGCTGGAGACCGTCGATGGCAGGTGACGAGAGTGGTGGGTTGAAGCAAAGAAGCCTCTCCGCGGGGCACGACGGGACAGGATGAAGGTGCAGGTGTAACTTGGTCTGGAGATTGATCGAGAGATACAAGAGCTGACCAAGAATCGTACCGTGAGGACAGTCGCTTCACGAGAGAAACAAAGTCTTGTGGATGAAAGAGTGAAGAGCGTTGGAGGAAATGTGATGGCCTGAAGTGCGACGGTCGGCTGGGCTGGTAATGTGAACCTGACAACCTCTTTTAATTTGTGTGCGGCTCGAGAGGCAAACGCGAGTATCGAACCAGGCAGATGCGATTATTCAGTTGGCTGGTTTAACACTGATTGTTCCCATTGTCTCCCCCGTTTCTACCCAGGTGGTCGACGTTTTAGCGCGACTTCCTGTACAGTCCATCATTGACCGCGCTTCTAATCTCTTGTCAGGACGGCAAGAACATTTGCCCAACTGATGTGATTGGCTTGGATACTTTGAAAGATGTAGATAGTGCTCAGGCGCCTTTGCGAGACCATGAGAGGGTAACCATGTCTGGCCCTCCCCGTAAGTCAGATGGTGCCGGAATCAATATTCTTGACTTTTTGAATTGCATGAATGCTTCGACTGCTTGATGGTGCTTGACTCTTGGTTGGGGGAATGGACACCCCTAAGCAGCATGTCGAAGGTTTTGAAAATACCGGTTTCTTATATTTAGAAAAAGTGAATGGTATTATATTTTTCTTTTGGAATATATCAAAATTGGCGAGGCCGTTGTTCGACGGAAACAAAATCGCCCAAAATTTGTTGGGGAAATATCAAACACGTTGTTAGCTTATGGCATAGGACTATTGTCTTGAGGAAAGCACAAGCAAGTATTCCGATTAGATATCATTAAGCAGTGATCTAGGTTAGAATCATGCCCGCTTTATCACCATGAGTCGAGTGGGATAATGAGAAACTGAAATGTCTAGCAGCTGTCACACTTTTTATAATCATGGATCGTGTGCAGTCCATGTTCTCG